AAAAAAAAAAAAAAAAAAAAAAAAACTTCGAAGAGCGATCTACTCCAAGTTTTGAAGCAAGAGTGGGCGAAAATTTCACAATCTAAAATTGACGAGATGATTCTCAGGATGCCCCAAACGATCAACGAACTCCACGAAGCAAAAGGAAGATCTGCTATATATTAATTAAATTATAAATATATCAATTCATGTGAATATGACTGAACATTTTCATTTTTTCTGAAAAGGTGGTCTCTATTTACTTGTGACCACGCTGTGTATAAGCATGTATCTATACAACTTGAAAAATTCATATGGCTATCTATATATAGACGTGTCATAATATAATAGTACATATATATCTAAATAAGCATTTTAAATATTTCTTATAATCGTTATGATTCCCCCTTCCTTATCCTCCTCCTCCTCTCCGCTGGCCATGATAAGGCCGGTCACTGTTTTGCTGCAGCTGGCCAGATTTCCTCTTAGAGTGACATTCTGCACATTCTACAGGGTCGTAAACATGTTAATTAGCAATTATAAATTGATTATATTAATATACCTTTCTCCTCCATTTCTGATGGAGTTTGGTTCGTGAAACTTTTACGACCCTCTTCCACTGTGACGACCCTAAACTCCGGTGAGCCGTCGTTGCTGTATACTTTATCTGAAACTAAATATTTTCTAAATAAAATATATAGCTACAAAATTTATGCTTCTCTTTTGCTTGGAAACGCCATCATTTTCGCCATCTCCTACTTGACTGAGTTGGCGAAGTTAATTTTTATAAATTTTACCTAAGTCATTTACAAAGCAGAATTAGGGTAAGGAATTAGAACACGTTATTTGTTATTAATTTTACACCGATTATTTACGATAATTATTTACTTCTGCTTTTAGCTAACTTTACTCACCCAGCAGAAGAAGTGGCGAATTAACAAACTAGTCCTCTTGTGCTTTATCTCTCGCACGTTGTACGATATATACTAGTCCTAACGCTAGCGGCACATAGCAACGAATACAGTCTATGTCTAATGAAGTGAGGCAGTTAATTCTTTTTAGTTGTAAATGTATACTCATTCTTGAAAACATGCCACATCAATTATGAATGAGAAAGGACACCGATTAATAAAAATTAACATCCCCTTCATCCAATCGCTCTCTTTCCCAAAGTTCATGTCTCTGAGCTCAGCCAAGAGTAAGAGTGTCGTTTGGTGTCACTGCTGCTTCAGGTGCTTTCTCAAACGTTGTCACCCATAAAGGTTACACACTTTCAAATTTCATTTAATCTACTTGATAACGAGTGTAACATTAGTAACGTTTGTTGTGCATATTACTTTCCTGTAAAATATAACCAAAAATTGCTTGAGCAAAAAAGAAAGATGTCAATATTATTCTTTAACTCAATTAGCAGGTAATATAGTTACAACAAAATAATACAACTTGATATTACTCACGTTGCCTCATTTTATTCAAGCGCTGTAAAATTGAACTTACATTCAGCTTAGCTACTAATTCACCATTTGCTCAGTGATGATCCTTATGTGAATTAGGAACCAAACTGAATGTAAGTTCATTTTAACAGCACTTGAATAAAATAAAGCAACGTGAGTAATATCAAGTTGTATTATTTTGTTGTAACTATATTACCTACTAATTGAGTTAAAGCATAATCTTGGATTTTATGTCGCTCAAGCGTGTTTGGATGGATCAAAATATTTTCTATTTAACGTAGACCGAATAAAACGCGGTACAAATAAACTCAGTGATTCGAAATATTTTTACAATATTTCAGTAAAAAACAACAGCTTACTTACATAGAACTACAAACAAATTTTTAATATACGTTATATGCAATAGTAAGTCATAACAATATCATATAAGAATTTCTACTAACAGATGCTGTATCTTTTCTATAAGGTAATGTTGACTAGTATCATAAAAGTAAATACCAACAGATAATGTTAGTAGGGGAAAAAAAGGCAGCACATTTATTAAGAGCAACAAAAAATTCAAAAACTGGCTTTCGCGTCAAGTTAAATCTTCATAGAAAGCATTTTAAATATTGTATCAATCAATCTAAATCGCTGTATAAATTTATAAGTATTCATATAGGTCGAGCGGAACCCAGGGGTTAGTGTGTATTAAGTGGCGTCTTATTAATCTGTTTTATGTTTCGTACTTGCAAAGATAAACAAAAAACTTACTTTTTTAATGAAAAAAATCCAGGTTTTGTTGTTGTAAGAGCAAAGCTAAACAATGGGCTATTTGCTATTTGGTCAACACACGTATCGAAACCGGATTTTTTAGGGTCGTAAGCCTGTATTCATATCTTACCGCTGATTCACTGGGGGATAAAAGTCCAGAAAATCATTAAACAGTTTAATACGTCCGCTGGTCAGGGGAGAATTTGATAAAAAGAAAAGGAAAGCTGGGGATCCTTTAGGCTGATAATATGATTAAAAATAATGAAATTCTAGAA